AGGCAGGAGGGACGGGGGGGGTGGAGGGGGTGTGGAGCGAAGCATATGGATCTACGGCTGAGAGGTGTTTTTTTCTGAGACTCCGAGACTCAGTCCAGTGATGGTTACACAGATGTTCAATGCATGTTTCAACCTGGTTGTTTCAAAGTGTACCTTTTGATGTCATGAACAAGCCTCCTGTTTGGGTCACGAAAAGGAACCTTCAAAAGGTCACAATTTGAAGCTGGAATATGTGTTGTTGCTTATCCTTGGGGGCCACAAAGGGTTTTGGATGGTCGTTGCTGGAGGTGAGTGAGTTCCTACGAGTTCGGGTCGCCAAGTTCCCGGTCGGAACGCCGAACGATGGTCCTGGCCGGATGGCTGGTCCTGGTCCTGGACCCTAAGCCCTAAGGATCCGAAGAATACAAAAAAGAGTGATTGAAATGTAGAAAAAGGCCGCTCTTCAGATCTAAACCGATCTGGTCCAAGTTGGTGCTCATGATGGGACATGAGGGGACCCAATCTGGAGGAAAGGGTTCCAACCGAGGTTGAAGCATGACCCTTCGTTCGTTCGACTATCCCAGGCGGACCGGGATACCGGGTTTTCCGTGGTCCGACCTGGTCCCGGGAGACCTGGCTACCTTGGTTAGTCGAAGTTCTGAATGGTGGAATGCTGGCCAAGGAGGCAAAAGATTCGAAGGGATTGCAGCACCAGCGGGGGCGCCCCCGCAAAGCGCGGTTGTGTGTTGCATGCCACGATTGTTGAACAAGGCCTGCAGCCTAACCATCATCATCCACTGTTATAGCAATATAGGATAGACCCAAGGTAGCATAGTAGCATCTTCAACTGCTTGTTGCGTGCTGCGCGTGCTTCACAGCCCTGAAGAGCTCATTGCAGAGACCGGCGTGTTGTAAGCGACCCAACGGTCAGACCCGGTCAGACAGCGTCCCGTTGCGAACGCGAGTCCACTGCGAGTCCACGAACGTGTGCCGTGCTACAAGTGCTAAAGTGCTACATCCACCAGTATGGCTTCGATGCTTTCACCTAGGAAAGATCGATATACGTACTTTCACTCACCAGGTCTTTGACTTCTGTCATCGCCCGTTCTCCTCAACGGGACCACACAGCTCCGAGCGGCCGGTCGACCGGTCGACCTGGAGAAATACGAGCTGAGCCGTACCTGACCTCTTTGGACTAAGTCTACCTCTTCAGGGACTACTGTAAGTGACCTCAGCCGCCACTGGGATCGAAGTAGAGGTCACGTAACTACGGCTCAGGTCCTGGTACGGCTCAGGTCACTACAAAATATGTGGTGATATACTTGACTTGAAGGAGGGAAGTCTGACCAGGTTGACCCTGGGTCGGAGTGGACTGGGGTTTTTATATGTGCAGAGAAAAGCTTCCCGTTTTGTGCTTGACCATACCTCGTACCACGTCAGGTTGGGTATGACTGGAGGGCTAGAGACTTATTGCAGGTGTTTGGTTGATGTTGGTTGGTTGGCTGGCTGGCTGGCTGGGTGGTTGCCTGGCTGGCTGGCTGGCTGGCTGGCTGGGGCTGGCTGGCTGGCTGGCTGGCTGGCTGGTTGGTTGGTTGGTTGGTTGCTGGAGAGATGGAGAGATTTCCTCATGTTAGAGCAGTTGGAATCTGCTTTGCCTTAAAGTAATTACCTCCGGCACCTTCATGATAGCCGATTCAGCCAAGGGCTTCCTCAGTCTAGAATTAAGCATGGAGGGGTCGCTGAGCAGCTTCGCTAGATAGATGCGTCTACACACTGGCAATGTTATCATGCAGGTCAAACCGCAAGAAGGAAAGACATGAAAATCACAACATGTCTACGATTGTTCTGCGATTGAAACATACAATTCTCCTGCTACTCATTAAACTGAAGGTGGGTCCGAGCGGCGATTCACTGTCACGAATTGGGTGACGTTTCAACCTTCTCACCGTTCTCACCCACTTGACATGTGCTTTACATCTCTAGCAGCTGACCGTCTTCGCCGGAGGCTGCCGCTTCTTCCATCGCTGCCAACAACGAAGCGCAGCAGCAGGCGGAGGCCCAAGCACTGCTGCAGCAGCAAGCGGAGATGGCGCAGCAAGGATCCGGGGAGCGACCTCGGAAGAAGTCCAAGTGGGACCAGGCACGGCTCGGGGTACTGGGCATGGTTCCCCGCAGTTGCGTCGCACGTCGCGTCGTACGTCGCGTGTGACGTCGTGACGTGGCGTTGCGTCGTGTGGCGGGGAATTTGATACATGACGTGTGGCACGGTGGTGCTGGCACAGTTTTGTTTTGACGTGTTAGCGCGGTCTTGGGCATGTGAAACCTTTCACACAAGAGAGGTGTGACTGGGAAGCTGGAACAACCAACAAAGAATCACGGTTGAAGGACACTCCAGGGAGTCCTTTCCAGAGAGTTTGGGAATTTATGTTCCCAGTCCCTCTTTCCGAGGTGCTTTATTGTTACTAAAGAGTTTCAAAGACATACTAGAAGGCTTCATTGTTACTAGTAGTAATGGCCTCCACCTAGTAGTTTCTATAGTTACTAGAAAGCCTCAAAGACATACTAAAAATATCTAAAAGGCTTTCTTGTAACTACAGGTGAAACGATTCCCAGTGAAACGATTCCCATGTTTTTGAATTGTTCCCATTCCCTCTTTCCGAGGTGTGTTTCTATCCAACAAAGTTTGTTATAGCACAGCAGGTCAGTCCAGTTTGTAGAAAATGGATCCGACCTGTCCCAGCGGGGGTAAATATGGTTTGCTTAGGCATGGGATGAAGCGTGTAATCCCTAAACAATGGACCAAACCGGGCCAGGCACACCATCTTTTGCTTGCTGCCTGCCGTGCATTGCAGGTCAACATGATATCTAAAGGGGTGACATGTGTGCTCCTGAAAATCCGTGTCTCTTCCGTGTTCCCCTACCCTAAAGCCCCAGTCGTACCTCCTCAGGTTCGGTGAGACTGGACCCTCCTCGCACCCGAACCCGAACCCCTGACCGTCCCACCTCCTTCTCAGGTCCGAAAACGGAGCCCCAAACGGTGTGACCGTGTGTCCCTCCCTCCCTTCCACTCCCGCGCCTCGCTCCACTCCCGCTTCCATGCCACCTCCGCTCAGACGGGCCCTGGCGGTCTGCCCGAGTGGTTGGCGGACTTGGCCCCCAAGGAACCACGGGTGCCCCGACCCCCCCCGCCGTCACACGCGACCGACCCGTCACACGCGTGGCGGGACACGTGGGACGCACGGCCGAGTGAGTGGTGCTGATCTTGGTTTGGGGGAGAGTGGGGTTCGACTCGAGGTTTGGAGGTGAGTGGAACTGAAGGTCCTTGTTTCGACATCTGGGGTGGATTCTTAGAATTGAGAGTTTCTCTTCTGACCTTTGGAAGGAAGTCCCTGATCATGAATATATACTATAACTATCACTTCTCTCAGAACACTTCTCTCTGGGGGGTTGGTGGATGCCGGGATGGGAGGTCGGGAACACACGTGTTTCATGGCCCGGAACACACAGCGCTCCGAACCTTGGAGTCTTTGTTTCATGTGACCGAACTTACCAGAGACCGAGTCAATCTTTGGGTCGGCATCTTTCAGCGACCGGTCACGTTGTCGTTCAGAACCAGGACTACTTTTTTTTTCCTGGTGGATTTCTTGGAGGCATACATGGCCCCTCAAACATGGCCCCTCATCCATGGTAGTCCCTTACCAAGAGTCTCACTAGAGCTCAGTATTCGCGAAAGGAAAAAGGATTTTCTGGAGGTGGTGTTTCTTTTGATCCGCCCAGCAAATGAATGGAGGCGGTGTTCTGGATGCATCGTTTGGGGGTTTTGCGATCGGACTCTTTGAGGTTCAACTATAGAGGCGTGGCCTCCCACCTAGAAGCAGACTGTATTCCACCATGTTTTCTTTCTTTATTAGAGTCACTTGTATTCCCCTGTGCAAGATGGATTCAACTCAAGAGTGAGTGGAGGTTTGCAAGCTGTTTGTCACACCTCAAAGGCTTTGTATATCTTGGTTCAGTTTGCTTTCATGTTGTTCACTGAAGTAAAGGAATTCTTTGTCGGGTGCCTATAAAGACTTACTTGCATTAACAATACTCCCCCGCAAACTACCATAGAACCTCAGAATTGACTCCGTGCTTTCGACCATGTTCCGAAGACCAACCCGACCGTGGGCCATTGGGAAGTCCATGTGGTCCGAATAGCAGGGGAGTAACTGGTTTTCGACCGGACTTCCCACTGTCTATACAGTGCCTTTCTGAGATTTTTCCGGACTCCCGGACGGGTCTTTCACGAGATGTCCATGTGTGCTGAGCATGCTGAGAGGTCCGTGTAGTTTCTGCATCACCTGGAGGTTACGGTTGACATCACCTGACCAGAAATCAGCGGTCTCCTGGTATCTTCTTCGCGCGTGACCCGGGCGCCCAACAAACTCCTACCCCAACAATGGGACATGTTTTGACCGATCTTCCAACTATGCCAAATATGTCCGCCGAACTTGGCTGTTTTTTTGTTAAAGGATGTTACATGTACTGTATAGGCATAAACTGGTCACAGTTGGAACATCCAGGTGTTTACCTACATCATTCTCCTTCAAACACATTTCAACATGATGGATTGTCGCTTTGATCCATTGATCCGACTGACGACACTCGTGAAATCCGACAGATTCGGTGTCAACGGCTGAAGGTGCGGGGGTCACTTGGTATGCTTTTCCTAAGGGTCCAGGACCATCCTGAGAATGTCCTTTGACCCCCCAAGACCATTCTCAGGAAGTACTTTCACCTCCAAGACCACCCTCAGGAGGTACCTGGACCCTATGGGTTTGGACTGGTGAACATATAAACGGAAGGGGGGCTTGCACTGCTTGCACCTCTCCTCAGTCGTACCTCCAGTCGTACCTCAGAAGGTCGGACCCTGGAAGGTCGTACCGGATCTCGCCGAAACGAAACGAAGGTATGACTGGAGCCCATGACGGGACGGGAAAGGGCCAGGGGGTCAGTTTGGATGCTGCTTTTGGCTGCTATTGGGCTCAGCTGAACCCATGACTCCATGACTCTACCAGCGCTTCGACTCCCTCATTCCATGTGCCTCGGCAGCACTCCCAAACGTTGGTTTGTCGATCATTCCGAAGCCAGCTGGATGGGCATATAGAACCATGGGAGCAAAGAGCTGTGTCTCTGGTGCGGTTGTGGTTGATTGGGTCCTTTCTGGACGCTGTAGTGTTTTTTTTTCCTCCCGGATAGCAAATCCAAGTGGACTGGAACTCTCCAAGGCCAAGAAACTGGAGAAAAAAAAGATGGAGCCCACGAACCCGAATGTAAACACGTATGGGTCGCGAACAAGGCTCTACCCCCAGACCCCCAGAGTTAAACGAGAACCCTTCGCTACGCATTCGGGAATAAACGAAGCAAATCCTCCACGTTTTTTTCCTTGACTTAAAGACCAGTTAAACCAACGTTAACTGTTGGTTGTGGTACGTACGATATATGATTGATTTGCGCCAAACATAATAACTCAATGTTGGGTGTAGCTCAAAAAGCAGCTATAACAGTCGGCAGGTGCAACCACGCCCCATTTTTGAGATGGATGGTAGCCCGCAGCATCCGGCCCCATCATCATCATCATCATCACCATCATCATCATAATCATCCAGTCTGTTGATACCCAAGGTTAAGGCGGTTAAGATCGATTTGTCCTTTTGACCGGAACCGTCAACGGAGCTGGGGATTTCTTACTGTCGGACCCTCTGGAGGCTCCGGCGCTTGCTCTACCTGGCGCTGCCTGCGCTCATCGCAGGCATCGTTGTTGGAAGCGTTTGTAGAGAGCAGAATCCAAAGGCCATGAACAACAGAACAATCAACAACTTTGTTTTTGGGATATCATGATCCGTGTTTGAGTGTAGTTTCAGGTCATGAAAGAAAGATTCATTTCGAAATCAACCTTTTGGAATATTTAAATGATGTGGTCGATCTCTTTTGGATCTTGTATCATGTTGGACTTCTTTATGGGAAACACTCACATGTTGGTTCCAGCTGATGAATCATCACACGTTGGAATTACATGTTTCATTGTCATCATTGCGATGGCGCCCTCCCTGACCGGGCCCTGAACTGCTTGGGGTTCTTTGCGGCCCACACCACCTGAGGAAATTCGATCACCTCCATGATGAAACCTGAACGAACTGTGAACTCACATGCCAAGCGACACAGGTCGCCAAAGGTTTGGGCCTCGTCCTGTAGTCGCGGTTTAGATGGATGTTTTCAAAAGATGAGAAGTCAGCACGCATCTATTGATAGAGCTTGCAAGACTATTTAGTTCTTTTGACTGAATTACTGCTTTCATCCTGTGTTCATGTGTGTTCATTCACTTGTTTTTTTGTGCAATGAGGAGATCCACCCGATGAGCGTCCATATCCAGTTGCTGTCCTAATGTGTAGTTCTCTTCAACATCTTTACATCCATTATTCCACTACCTGAACCGACTCTCCAACGTTTCCTGTGTTTCCAAGTCCGGTGCCCAGGTTCACCACCTGTGGTCGGCTTCTAAAACCACCAAACTTGGATTGAAGGTCCTGGTATGCTTTGTGGATCTTTGTGGCGCCCACCGATTCATTGGACCTCACTCCAGGCAGTGCTGGCACAGAGGATGCTTGCACCGACGACGCATGTGAGGACGGTAGTGTGCGGCTCATCCAGCGGCAGGCGAGCGGCTGAGGCTTCGGCTTCAAAAAAACAACGGAATTTGAACCAAAATCGCTGTCATCCGGACCCTTTTGATGCGTTTGGACAGGAATGGGACGCTTCGAACGAAGGAACGCACGCTGCAACGCGGGGTCGAAGGATCGGTTCCACCCAAAAAATACCGATTGAGTCGACCGGTGGTCAAGTACCGAAAGGAGGTGAGTACAAGTGTACAAGTAATGATTTAGTATATATATAGGAACGTCTATGTATAAGTGGGTGTCTTCCAAATAGGAACTGGGTGTCAGAATAGCAAGGTACCAGAAAGATACAAACACAATCAACTCATATCCTTCCCTGCAATAAGCTGCAAGCACAACCCTGGCTCTAGTCAGTGCGCCCTTCCATCACCTGGCATCAAAGGTTGTAGGATCGGAGAATGAGTGAAGTGAAGTAAAGGTGAAACGAGTCTGACTCGAAATGAACGCTATAAAACACCTCAAGAGGATGCAAGAGGCAAGAGGTGTAGTTTGGTGTGCTAATTATATATAGGGGAAAAAACGCTGCAGTAGTTTCTAAGACTCCCGGGGAGCGATATCTTTGTCAAAGTGGCTGCCAGCAAAACTGCCAAACAAGACTACCAAACAATGATTACACACAACTGCCAAACGAAACGCCACAAACTCACCAAGATCCATTGCGGCTTTCAAATCGCAGCCTACCAGTTTGAGGCTTCACAATCCATTCAGGAACTTGCAATACCCAATACTTGTCCACAGAGAATCTCGGCTTCTGTCGGAGGCCCTCTTGATGGGTATCAAGTCAGTCGGTTTTGTTGGGCAAATATTGGGACAGGTTTTGTTGACAAACATTTTTGTCAACCAAAATTGTGATTGTTGACAATTTTTTTTGTCAACAAAAATCGCGACGGGTTTTTGTTGACAAATATTTTCGTCAACCAGAATCGCGACGGGTTTTTGTTGACAATTGTTTTTGTCAACCAAATTCGCGACGGGATTTTTAAAATCCCATCACGATTTCTTCGACAAATATTTTTGCAAACCAAACTTCTTGGAAAAAAACATCACGATCACGTGGCCATCGTACCTACCAAAAAGCGATGGGACTTTCAATAATCCCATCATAATGTCCACCCCCTGGGCGAAATCAATCACAATTCTGTCTCGCCAGTGCACTTGAAATCCTGACGAATTTTGCCCGTACATTTAGGAAAGCGATGGGATTTTTAAAAATCCCATCACGTTTTCGACCCCGGCCTGAGTTTCGAAATGCGATGGGTTTTCGCCCCCCGTTTTGCCCCCACCACCACCCCCAACTTCCAAATAGTGAATTTCGACCGGCCAAGTTTCCCAGTGGAAAACATGTCCTCAAGCTTTGCCATGCACTCTGGCGACGCCAAGCTTTGCCATGAACTCTGGCTCGAAGGTGGTGTTGTGGGTTTTTGGATATGTCGCTGCAGGACCTCAAAGGTCTGTAAAGCATGAATGCCTGCAATGAAATTGTGTCGATGAGCTTGCAGCAAATGCTCAAGAGAGTCACCCCCAAAGAGAAGCAGGAGCCTGCCAGTTCCTGACTGGATTATTGAGTAGTGCAAGTTCCTGAATGGATTGTCAAGCCTCAAGCTGGCAGGCTGTTATTTGAAAGCCGCAACGGGTCTTGGTGATTTCCTGGCGCTTCGTTTGGCAGTTTTGTGTATATTACAAAACCATTGCATTATAGCAGCCACTTTAAACAGATATTGCTCCCCGAGAATTCTGGTAGCGCTTGGAAACTACAAAGTGGCAAGCGCCTGCAACGCTTTCTTTCTTCTTATAGCGCGCCAAGCTACACCTCTTGCGCTTCATTTCGAGTCAGACTCGTTTCACTTTACTTCACTTCACTCATATCATATTTGCCTTTCTCCGATCCTATAATCTTTGATGCCAGGTGATGGAAGGGCGCACTGACTAGAGCCAGGGTTGTGCTTGCGGCTTATTGCTGGGAAGGGTGTGAGTTGATTGTGTTTGTATTTTTCTGGTACCTTGCTATTCTGACACCCAGTTCCTATTTGGAAGACACCCACTTGTAAATAGAAGCCCCTATATATTATATACCCTGGTTTTATGGGGTCATGTCCCATTTTCTAGGGTACTTTGGAGGGTCCAGGTACGTACAAAAACAACACATTTGTTTCCACCTGCCACTCTAGCACCCACCGCCTGCCACCAAGCGTCCCGCTTCAAAAGCAAACGTGTGCGGGCTCCAGAGACTCAAATATAAGGCAATGAGGCAACCGCCCCTTTCTGTTTTGTCCCCCGCCGAAATCACATCTTCCAAGTGTTTGTTCTTAATCCAAGATCGAATCTATCATCTATCTCAATTTTGGGGCTGCACCATCAGAGACACATGTCTTTTTTTTCAGGCTGCCAAGCTTTCGGCTGAGATGAACATCTCGCGCGGCTCGCCGAAGATCTTGGGAAACGTGCTCCGGAATTGGGGCTACTCTGAGCAGAAGGGAACTGGAGAGCTGCAGAACAGAAAGACCCCCGTGACCAGGATTCAAGAGGTTTCGGATATGTTTTTTGGCCTTATAGTACTCAGTTGTTTTCCTATAGCTGCCTAGCTGTATCAACCTCCCCCTTCAAGTGAATTGATAAATTTTTAGTTTCCTGGTAAATGTCGTTGCCAGCCAGAACAAGCGTATGCCCAATAAGTTTCACTTCAAACGACGAACCATCCCAGTATAGCACAACTGCCATTGGTCCGAGAATTTACCTCAAGAACTACAAAGCTAGAGTTGCAGCTATTACTGGACGATCATAACGCCAAAGAAGAATAGGCTCAACTGGACGATCCTGGCATGGACGAAGCCACAAAGACGATCCACCTGGCTCCAATTGCCTATGAATCGCCCCTGCAGGGGCCCACGCTGTTTATGAAAGACCCTTGAGAACACTGGGCACATGATGGGTGTATGTTATTATTAGGGCCCCCTTGGGGGTTTGGCTTCTTCCATGGGGTCGGAACGCAGGTCTCCTTATTGCAAACCCAGACACGACACATGGGACTGGCATATTGACCTACATTGACCCCTTTTCGACCCCAACGTACGTTGGGCGACCCCAACGTCGCCAGGTCCGATGGATGGGGTCAGGGGGGATTTGTTCCATTTCGGGTAAAACCGCCCCCGGAGCCGATTTCCCCTAAGTCGTCGATTCGAGTTCATTTCAGTGGTTTTCCTCCGCCCGGAACAGCCCGGAACTCACCACGCTGCACGGTGCCCGGATCCATCGCCGGATCGCAGGTGCCGAGCTCGAAGGAGACCGGTCACGGCAGCGGTGGCAGGGTAACCGTGAGACAGGCGGAGAAGCGGCGAGTGGAGGGTGGCGTGGGGCGAGGTGAAAGAAGCGGCTACATATATAGGAGGCCATGGAAGCCGACGGAAACCCGGTCCAATGTGCAGTCACTCTTGAACTCACCCAGGTCTGGGGAGGTGTGCTCATCTGCCATGAGACGTCGGGAGACGTCTCCCGGCCGGGACGTTCTCGTCGTGGGGAGACGTGCAGTCTCCCGGACATCGGCTTTCGGAGGTGGGGTCCATTCGTTCTTCTCTCGCTGGACTGGCACTGGCTTGCAAAAAGGGCCTGCCCAACAGAGGTTGAGTGACCGTAAATAGGACCCGGAAAACCAGGGGTACCTATAGGATAGATTAGGATAGTCGAACGTTTGGGTTCTTCAACCTCTGCTGGACTGGCTTTCGTTCGACCCCCAAACAGTTTGCCGCGAAAGGAGGTGTTTTTGTTCAGCTCGAGTCACGAGTGGTGAGCGGAGGAGCTCCGGCCTCCACGAGCGGATGAGCTCCGGCTCATGAAAGGGGGGTCTCCAGAATGGGACGAGCTCATCCGCCAGGAGAGCACCAGAGGCCCTAGCTGTAGGTCCTTTTGAGGTGTTAGTTCAATCCCAAGGGCTCCAAGTACCTTCTGAGAAGGTGGGACTGGGGTGGGTGCCAAGAGGGTCCAGTCACACCTGAGGAGGTACTTGGAGTTGCAGGGAACAGGGTATCAGGATGCGAACCCTGGATGTTCAATGTCAACCTTCGCTTACAAATACTGTCCACAAGACGTTGGAGCAGCATGAATTATGGCGCTTTCCCCCACAGTGTGGCAGTGCTTTCCCCTTTCCGAGCAGTTTTCCTTGGCCGACTTCAACAGCACGGCACCAGCCCTTTGGGCGCCGCTCGGGCGGCGCGCGGCAGGTTCCACGTGTTTGATCTACCACTGCAAGAAGGACTTGGGGCCCACTGAGTGTCACCACTACAGGTGCATTTGCCAGCATGGCTATCAGCAGCTCGGTGGGAGGTGTTTTTTGTTTTGTTTTTTTATATCTCTCGGTGGGATAAAATCTACAAGGATCTGGAATCAGTTATAATCAGTAAGTTTTCATGTGTTTTGCGTTTTTGATCATCTGTGTGCTGTGCCAGCAGATCATGAAGCTTTCCTGGTCCCACCAACAGATGGATCTGAGTGCATTAGATCAGGTATGACTTGATCAGATCATCCCCAACACTCTACAAAAAGAATCTCAGAAGTCATCTTTCTATAACCAGGTGTTTTATCATGCTTTTTTGAAGTCAGTTCATAGCAAAAAATGGACATAACTCATCATAAGTCCGCAGGTGCTGCACATGTTCCAGTGGTCAACAACTGGCACTCCCTATATGTTCGGTGGGTTGAGGTACCAACCATTACCTCCAACGCACCTTTGCCAGGCCTACCTCTAGATGGTTCCACGCACCTAGGGGGACGATCCCAACTCCCAACCAACAGATTTTGTTTGTTTTTATTTTCCCAGATCTCTAACTCTGGGGGTCTCCCTATTCTAATACCACCCACCCAACCTGACGACTGCAGACTGCCGACCAACCGAGGTACAGCGAGCTCACCAAGCGGTGCGAGTCGGAGACCTCCTCCCCCGTGCAGCGCGATACTGGCGGCTCCTGCCGCGCGTTCTTCAGGGAGAGCGAGTTCCCGGGTTTCCCAGGGCCGTCCGCGGCTGCGGGGGGGTTGTTGGGACGGAGCAGAAAGAGCTAAAGGGACTGATGGTGGGAAGTCTTTTCTTCGGTTTTTTTCCCCAAACAGTGTGGACACACTAGGAGTTCTTACGGTAGGTGTTAAGCAGCTGATGCTTAGATCGCTGAAGCGCGCGGGCGTGACCGGCTAATTCGTTGCTATTTACAGCACATTCATGCCTCTCGAAATCCTCAAAGTGCATTTCGACTGCGCAGGCTCGCAAAATTTGCGTGGGCGCGGCGCTCTCGTTGTGGTGCCGTGCGCATTTTCGGTCATGGTGGTGGCAGGCGCAAGGGAAACCTCGTGTTTTGGTGGTCCCAAGTCGACTTTTCGTGACAGGCAGAAGGGATCGGAGTGGCTTTACTTCGAAGTGCAGATTTCGTGGCAGGCGCAGCACTTTGGACATGGCACAGATCGTCGAGGAGCTGAGATTTCGTGACAGGTGCAGCAGTGCAGCACTTTGTGCGTCACCGCCACCAACATCACCACCATCACCACCACCATCATCACCACCATCTCCACCCACCACCATCACGTTGCTCTGGAGCCCAATACGTCTAGATCTCTAGACCTTGGACCTGTAGATACACTACGAAGCACTGTTTCCGGTCTTGGGCCGGGATATGTTCTTGGGGGGCCAAGGTCTCTTGCAAGGGCAATTGAGTCACCACACCACGTGAGGTCGTACCTTGGTGCTGGACCTTCAAATGTGGCTTTGTTGAGGTGAAATGGTGCTTGGGATTGCCACTTTGGGGCTGTTAGATGTTGCTGGCACACTTCCAATGAATTCGATCATACACAACTCTTTACCTCACGTAACTTCCAATGCAGACAGGGCTACCCACGCATAACCTTTGAACTGGCTCTTTTGGGCGGATGCGTTTGACAGTATGGTAGACGAAAAACATCCAGCTCCCAGATTCCATGATTCACAACATCATCGAGTCCTGCGATAATTAGCAGATGGGCTCTTGTTGAACTTGCGTTTTGATTCCGTGGGCCCAAACAACCGATCCATTCGCTGAACACCGACCTGAGATGGTTGAACCCCTGCAATGACCATGACCAACTCCATCCGGGACGCAGGACATCCATGTTATTGTTTACAGGTGTGAAACAAGTTCAAAGGTTGTGCTGTTCAATCTAATCGAGTTATTCGTTGGTGTCTACAGTTGTTTACATGTTGTTTGGGAAAATGTCATTTCACAGTCTCGCACACAGATTTTTCTCTCCACTGAGGCTGGTTTTGGCCATGCAGTCGATGGCGAGGGCCCACTCAGTGTGGTTTGGCGGAGCAGCAGTGTCGCGCAGTTTTCACTTCCCAGATGGGCACACCCCAAAATCATGGGTTTACGCGCCAGTTTACAAACCTTATCCAAGTACCTTCTCAAAGGGTAATGTGCTCAACACTGTTATGTAGGTGTCATTGTCGTGTCCAGTCGTACCGAACCTGTTATGTAGGTACTCGTCCTTGTTTGATCTTTAATTTGGATTAATGAAAAAGGATTTGGAACTGCAGCTTGGCTCAATGGCCTAAACTCGTTTCGCGGGATCCTTCGATTAAAAGTGAAAAACACATAGACTCCATGCATGGAATATCTGGGAACCAGCTTCTTCAAAGTGACCTAACTTGAAGGTTCCTTTTCGTGACCCAAACAGGAGGCTTGAGACCGTGACCGAACCAACCAGGTGATCAAGTTCGGTCACGTACTGAAGAACCAGGCATGTGTTTTTTCTGCATGGTGAAAAAGATGAAAAAGGGGACTCCGATCCTGCCGGTTGAGAACGAGACGTCTCCGTCCGCGCACAGCGCGCGCTGATTTCTCGGAAACGGACGTCCTGGTCCAGGGGCCCTCAAAACCAGGAAAAACAAATTACATACAAAAACAATTGGGATGGTTTTTGGGGTTCAATGTAGGCATATATGGCAGTCCCGTGGAGTGTTTGGGAATGTTGTTTGCTAGGGAAAAACCAGGTTTTTGATGGTTGGTGGGGCCCCTGGCGTGAGGTCTCCACCACAAGTGCTGGTGCATGGCCACTCGGACGGCAGCGCCAAACCGGCGGTGGCGCGTGCGGGAAACGCGGCGGTGTGTCACTCTTCACGGTTCACAGTCACCACCCAAAGCGATTCTTTTCTGGGAGCAAAACATGTTGGAGTCCGAGCGATTTCGAGGAACATGCTATTTAATTGCGCCACTCAATTGAGTTGGCGCCCAGCACCTCTACACCATTCGTAGTTGTATCGAGGACTGCCCCCATCTGCTCGGAGTTCCTCGCACCAAGTCCCGTACGATCACCCTTCTTCTGCCAGGAAGGCTTTAAAGCGGTGCGGGGCTACTGCGAGAAGGACGACACTCCTCAGCCAGAGACCTCCACCACGCAGCCAGGTGCCGGCGGATTTGGGGGCAAGAACCAACGGAGACAGACATGCCAAGAGAGGTTGAGAGACCATATAGGACCCTGTAGTGGTACATATGGGATGGGCATGGATGGGCGAAAAAGGGCTGTTCAACCTTTTCTTGGTGGAGGGTTGGAGCGCGACAGACATCGATGATGGGTTGGAGGGCTTTCCGGACCTTCAACACCCGTCTGTCGGCAAAGTCGACCCTGCCTGACTCGCTGCAACGATGGTCATCATCATGTTTCCCATGTTTGCTGAATGGAACTATAGGATCACTTGGAGAGATGTTGTGAGCGGGGCAGACACGAGCTGGCTGTTTCAGAAAACCCGGATATGACCTTGGACTGGCATATCTACCTGCATGAGTTGTTTCGGAGGTGAATGTAGGTAATGTAGGCTATATTTTCCAAGACCTCCAGTCCAATTGTGTTTCTGTGTTGTATGATGTTGTATGTGTATTTGTATCCAGGTCCTCTAGATCTAAATCACTCTAATATGATCCAGTTGAAGGCTGTTGAATCTGTAGTATCCACACCTCTTGAACGCCTTCCAGAGTGCTTTTTTCACTTGGTAGTAGATGTTTCAGCAAATGTTTTTTGTCATCAACGATCAAACAAAAGCCGCATATAACTTGAGCCACACGCCATGGTGTGTAGCAGCAAACCACTTCGGTCGGATTTGCTCCTGTTTCCTCCGCAGCCATCCTGCTTGGGGACTACACTGGTACTTCCTGAAGGGTGGAAAACGGGGGGAGGATCGTTCGGCGAAGCAACGGGATGAAACCACCGACATGCACATCAGCTTCATATCAAAGATAGACATGGCCCAGACACTCCATGTATGCCATATTTGCCTACATTGGGGTGGTTTGGGGGGGGTCAATGTATGCATGTATAATTATTCCATACGTCTGGGTGGTGGCACCATGGTGGTAGGGTGTATTGCCACAAAGGTGTCTCTAAATCCATCCAAATAGCCCTGCCTGGCGCCGCGCGGCCCTCCCCGGGGCGGTGGGCCAGCAGGTGATGGCTTGGAAGTGGCTCCCCGGCGGCAGATTCGAGCTGGTTCCGGATCAGGTGATTGGTCGTTTTCCCGGTTCCTGTATGCCAGTTGGGTACCCCAGTGTGGTCCTATGGTCCCGGTCGGCTACCTCTCTTGGTTGGGAACATCCCTTCACCGGACGTGTGACCAGAAACAGAACCCGCGTTCCGGATCGGCGTGCCATCATCGGTCAGGTTTTGGAACTACCTCGGGCGTCAGGGACGATGTTTGTAGCACTTCGCCCAGGGAGTTCCTCTAGCTGGGTCATAAGCTATGTCCGTTAATTGCAAGCTACAAGTATGAACGTGGTGGTGTGCAAGTCAGTTCGGAGAACTACTACGAGTTAAGCAAGCAAGTTTGTGAGAATGCAGCTGACAGGTTGCTCAGGACTAAGTCGACTGCCTGTGCACACGTTGATAAGTTTGACAACGCATAGCTTGAAGTTTGGCACAAGTTAGTTTGTGGTGCATTGGCTAAACGGGTGTGAAACATATCTCTCCAGGTCTGTCTCCTATGGCCTATCCCCAGAACCGACTGGTCGTTCTTTTCACGAACCTTCCAGAGGGTTACCCCTGCCCGGGAGGTCTTCCGTTGGGTCCGTGGGGATGAAGCCAGAGCGACCGTGCCGGGCGGCAGTGACGCCCAAGTGCCTCAACCCCAGTTGAAGCTCCCAAAGACAGTTCAGGACTACCCGTGAAACTGGAAGGCCTGGAAGGCGTTCAACAACTGCAAAGCAAGGGGGAATTCCCCAGCTACACCGATCCATGGCATGTTCGGGTACGAGGTCCATGGCCATCCATTCTTTACATGAAGCTAAAAATACTGTAGCATTTTAGGTAGAAGAGCCATTGCAAAAAGACACTTCCCAGAACGAACATGCAAAGATCTTCTCATGCTACTTGGCATCCCCTTGACCGACCGGTGTGATCTGTGTCTTCGGACTCACCGGACTTGACCCAAATCGAGGCCTCTGGTGCCCCTCCGGCCATGCAAACCTCCTGCGCTTGGGGCGAAGAGCAGCAGCTTGGTCACGGCGAGGTCGTCACGAAGGACCTGAATGCGTCCGGAACTGGACGCTCTCTCTTGCCTCTGAATGTTGGAGACATACTCCAGGACATTTTTGTAGAAGTCCAAGCCCTGGGATACAAGATGATACAAGTACCTTGTCAGAAGGTGTTGGAAGACACTGCTTTGTAGGTGCTAGGAGGGTCCAGTCATACCTTCTGAGAAGGCACGAGTCGCTGGATCCCTAGGGAACCATCAATAGGAGGACCACTCTGCTCAGCCGTGTGAACTGTCAGAGCATAATAACCCCAGAACATGTGACATGACCCGACTTGAAGCAGCAGGATTCTTCCATTGAGTGTTAGTTTACGAATTTTCCGGAGTACTTTGAGATTCCAGGTGGTTAGAGGAGATAGTAAATCTGTCCAGATCTTTTCAATTACTGCTGTCATGAGATGTGTTGTCATTTATGTTCATTGATGCTCGTTCAGGGCGCCATGAGAGGATCCAGCCGATTTGGATCCATGCATCTGGAGTTGCTGACCTATCTCCAGCACATTCCATGCAACAGACATATACAGAACTCTAATATCTACTCTAATGAACTCTAGTTCTGACCCTTTAATGTATGTAACTTGATTCCATATATACGCATGTTCTGCCTATGTTGGCCGTGTTATCTCTCCTCTTCACCGTGGAAACCACGCAGACTGTCATGATTCAACGTCACGACACGTGGAGCGGCCGCGACGTCCGAGGTGCGGCGGGCCGGGCTGGTCCGGCGCCACCTGTTGCGAGGTCCGGGCGAAGCGCGACGAAAACCCCGCGGGGTTCGGATGGGATGGAGGACTGGGGACTGGGGGACTGCGACGCGACGGGGAAAGCCCAAAAAGAGCTGGTGCGTTTGGTGGGGACTGCGTGTGTTTGGGCGAACAGATGACGAACAGACTTCTCAGACGTGGAGAGTCCTATGACTCGTGGTGCTCCGGAGATCCATAAGTAGGGGCGTAGATGCGCTGTTTGAAGATGGCTGCAAACCCCCGGAACGAAGGTCATTGAGATAGAGGGGGCCCGAAGTGTTGAAGATGACCTCTTTGAAGTGCCTTTTTGCCAGGAGTCACAGTCGACGGGGTGGTGTGAAACGTCCCCGTATACGTGAGTGGATGTGACAGGGGCACCTAACCTCCTTCCTCCGTTCGTTCGGCACCCCGTCTTAGTGACTGCTGGAGTGACCTCTACTTCATCCTGAGATCTCAGATCTTTGATCACTGCGCAGGTCGAAAACGATCATGTATGTCGACATGATGTTCCATCACTGGGTGACTGCCACTTTCCATGTTCCAAGCAACGTGAACTCTCTCAGTGGAACCGATTCGTTGACCAGGCGACCCATCCACAGATCCAGCGACTCATGCTGAAGGGCCCGAAACCAAACCGCCTGCCCCCCAAACTAGCCCATAGCTTGAATGCTGAAGACCAACACCTATAGCCACTGACAGGCTTCAACTGAGAGGCTTCGCGCTTCCGATGTGTTTTTTGGGGGGATGAAGGCCAGGTGGTGGAGCAAGTCTAGCCTGGTTGCGTAGGGTGCCGGAGTCCAACGGCAACAGTTCCACCCTGCAGTGTCCTGCAGTGTCCGGCGTCGGGTTGGTTCGGCGGAGAGATGCTGAACGGTGCTGAAATCGCCACCCCTTTTGGTGGGTCAAGCCCATTTTGGGACTATCAAACCCTTTTTCCCGAATGCGTAGCGAAGGGTTCCCGTTTATAGTTGGGGGTGTGGGGGTTGGACATGTGTTTGCATGGCCTGCGTCGTGTCGTCGTTTGTCGTCGTCTCTCGTCGTCTCTCGTCGTCTGTCGTCGTCTGTCGTCGTCGTGTCGTCGTCGTCGCGTCTCAAATTTGCTGCCATTTGGGGAAGCTTTTGCAAGTGACTTTGCATGGACGTGTCACGTGTCAGTTTGCGCCGCAATTCCATTGTGATTGGCATGACACCGACATGTCGCGCAAGAAACGTGATGCATTTCGCTGCACAGGCGCAGCGTTTTGTGAGATCCGCAGTTTGCTGCGCAGTGCCATTGGGATTTAGCGTTTGGAGAGTCGTGCTTTTGGGGTGTTGGATGTGGCCGTGCCATTGGGATTTGCATTTCAGGGTGTGGCATCGAAGCTCTGTTTTCGTGACAAGTCTCAGCCGAAATGGCGATTTTGGTGGATGGGAGTGTGCTCAGAAGGGGTCGAAATCATTCTAAACGTGTGGTGTGGTGCAAATTTTGTTGAAGCTCATGTGAGATGATATTCTCACTTTTCGTGGCAGGCGCAGGACTTCGTGCGGGCTTTGAAGCGTGGAAGTGCGATTCTCGTGGCAGGCGCAGGGAATCGTGAGGTTGCGAGGTGTGAGGGAGGTGACATTTCGTGGCAGGCGCAGTACTTTGTGCGCGTTAGACGTGTGGATGGGGAAAGATTCGTGGCAGGCGCAGGGAATCGTGAGGTTGTGAGTTGTGGTAGAGGTGAATGTCGCTGTCCCATTGGGATTGGCGTGTGAGCGGATGTTGTTTGGAGGGGCTGGAATCGCGAAACTGCTTGGCAGGGCTGCGTGATGTGTGTGCTCCGATGGGTGTTTCCGCTTGACTTTTGGAGGAAGTCTCGTACGAAACGCTCGTTTGGAGACTTGACGCGCAACCCTGTGCGTGTCGAGTGTGCGAAATGCAGGCGAGAGTGCGATTTGTCCCATGCGCGCGCAACCCTCTGCGGAGATCGTGCGTGTCGAGTGCGCGAAATGCAGGCGAGCACTGGCGACTTTGTAGTACAACTTTAGTATGCGGGGTATCTGGGGAGCTGGAAGATGAGAACTGGTGACTTGGTAGTACAACTTTAGTACGCGGAGCAATCTGTGGAGCTGGAAGCTGAGAACTGGCGACTTTGTAGTACAACTTGAGTACGCGGAGCAATCTGTGGAGCTGGAAGGTGAGAACTGGCGACCTTGTAGTACAACTGTAGTACGTGGAGTATCTGGGGAGCTGGAAGCTGAGAACTGGCGACCTTGTAGTACAACTTTAGTACGCGGAGTATCTGGGGAGCTGGAAGAGAGTCCCACAAGAGTGTCCCGCAACAGTGTCCCACTGGAGTGTCTCACAAGAGTGTCCCTTAAGAGTGTCCTACAGGAGTATCCCACAAGAGTGTCCTATAAGAGTGTCCCACAAGAGTGTCCCACAAGAGTGTCGCGCAAGAGTTTCCTACAAGAGTGTCAAACAAGAGTGTCCCACAAGAGTGTCCCACAAGAGTGTCCTACAAGAGTGTGCTACAAGAGTGTCCTACAGAGTGTCCCGCAAGAGTGTCCTACAAGAGTGTCCTTTGGACATATTAGTTTTCCGATCGTGCTTGCGTTCGGGTTCGTGGGTTCCATCTTGCTTCAGATTGAAATGCCCTATAAACATCATCAATGGTCACACCAAACATGGTGAATAAACCATCTCCACCCCTTGTGGTGGGTCAGAGTCATTCAGACCCTCCTTCACATCCGCATCCAGACCCTGTCCACCAGCGCGCCACGGCGTGGCGCCGCCCGGGCTCTTCCAGGCCGGCTACTACTGCGACGGCTCCATTTGCGCCAAGGCGTCGACCGGATCTGATGGGCACGGTGCATTCCTTCGGCGGCCGCGCGTGGGTGGAACGGCGCGCCGCGTCGCGCGGGGGGGTGAAGACGGCTTTGAATTGAAACTGACGGGCTGTTAACGGCTTCGCATGACGCAGGTGTCAAACAGGTTCAATCCCTTCCTTAAAGGCTAACACTTAACAAAACATCTCCAGAAGCTGCAGTGTCTTCATCCTGATCTTAGTGCAGGGGAGGCTGTTTCGGACCCGATTACGTTGCGCCAGGGCGAGGTGGTCGTCGAACAACAGCTCTGCACAACAAGACCCAGTATACACTTCAATCAATGGGTTACCAATGACCAATGGAGAATTTACACTGCTTACAGGTCTCCATTGGCCCCCTGCCGAGAAGCGCCAAAGGGCTGTTAACATGTGCATGTGCGACGAGCAGAAGGTCTTTTGGCCGAGTAAATACGAACTCCCCCAGTGGTTGGGAGGCACGACCTTGAGCCAATGCATCAGATGTACTGTGCTTCCCATGTTTCAGGGTAAGCTGGCAGCTGGGAAACCCCGAAAAGGGGCGAAACATCGCTAAAGACTCAGAGACGATCTAAACATGATTGACTTGTTGGCGGTCTCCCTATTAGAAGAATGAAACTTCATCTCGTCCTGGTGCCCTGCGCACCGTCAGTTGTTGTTTTTGGTGGGTTGGGGGCATCCCCCCTCTCAATACCAACAGGTGAACAAAAATAGGTTATAGGCTAAGCATGGTTTAGGGAAACTGAAGGAGTCAGGTGCGAAAAGAAACAACGTTTTGATTGATGAACCGAGCAGTTATGCCAGCTTTGCCGTGCCACATGGGGTGTTAGAATCGACAATCGTGCAGGTCACTGAGAAGCTGGAGGTGAAGAAGTATGGCTTCAGCGATGCCACTTGGAGGGATCAGCTTTCTCAGCTGTGTAGCTCCCTCAGTTGAAGCTGCCACGCTCCAAGAGGAGTTGTTGATGTTGGTTTCGTAGGTTCTTTGTAGGTCTAGCGAGGTGGTGGGACTAGCTATATCCACCAAGCTCGGGCTAGCTGTTCCACTGTTGATGTCCGATGATGTTCTTTGAGGTTCTTGTTGCAAGTTCGTCTAAAAGAACAGTCCCAGACACTCCAATGGGACTGCCATATATGCCGATCAGTTGGGGTGGTTTGAGGGGTCAATGGGGCGGCATATATGGCAGTCCCATTAGTCGTGTTTGGGACTTGCTTGCTGTTCTCCGTTTCTGTTCCGGAATGGGTTTCATGTCAGGAGCCCCCGAAACGTCACACCGTTTCGGGGTGCTCGGTCCTTGGTGCGCTTGTTTTGCATCCTCGGGGTGCTGGGACTCCGACCAAAAGCGTGCCGCGCTTGCGCCGATGTTGCCGTTTTCGGCATCAAACACTCGTAGGAAACATGTCGGCGGAAGAAAACAGCATCCGGTCAACAAGAAGGTGTCGAAAGAAAGATATCCCAGACACTCCAAGTACGCCGGGGTGGGTGCCAGGGGGTCAATTGATCGGCGTATATGGCAGTCCCATTAGTCGTGTCTGGGGTTGACGATTGTTGACAAATGTGCTTATTGGTTGTTCGAGTGATGTGTGTTCTCCCGGTTCCTGGGAGAATTCCTGTTTTTGTTTGTCCTTGGGAAGCGTGTTGTCACGAAAGGTAGCCCTGAAGAGGGGATACCTTGAGTTTGTCTTGCGGAGCAAGTGTGGACTCCTCCGGGTCTAATAATTGATATATAGTTCAATTCAACCCCCACCCTTACGATTGATTTTTCAATTCAGACCCCCCCTTCTGACCGCTTCATCCCGAAGTGGATCACCTCGACACCTCGATGGTTGTTTGGTGTTGAGCACTCTAAGCTCGGGCAGTGTTTGAATCCATGAAGAGACATGATATGCTGTTTTTTTGTGCTTCTTGTCGTTGTATCGAACTTTGGTCTTTTCCCTCATTCTCAAGTTGACGCTTGATTCGACTCCACCAACAACACACTGCATAATTTACATGCTAATTTTCCTCCCGCTGTCCTACCTTTCGTGTATCCCTCTTCTCAAGTTTGTTTTCCACGGTTTGAAGAAGAGGTGGTTGAATTTTCACGCACCCTCAAGTGTGCTCTTCTGATGTTTGAAACCACGGCGGGCGCGGTGTTTAGGGTTGCCAAGGACATAGGGATGATGTATGATCAATTGTAAATTTCAGAGCTCATTATTTAGCACAACACAACTTTCCACTCTTTTATTTAGTCGCACTATGTCACTCAGGAGTAGATTCAGATGGAACATGAAGTAGAGTCAGTTTCACCAGCTAGCGCTTTCGGTAGCATTTGCTGGTGTCTTTGAGCCAAAAAGGGCGATCAGTGTGTTTCTATATATTCAATCCATTCTCCCCGACAACCTGGAGAACTCCCCAACACGGCAGTATCATTTGAATTATATATTTGCGTGTGTTTTCGTCTAGGTCTTAACTGAAGATGGTGAATCAAACACTCATCACCCGTCAGTCAATCGTGCTGACGAACCTCAACCTGTCAATCCCGGACTCACCAATCGCCGAGCCGAGCCTGAGGCCCTCCGGAAGAAGAGCGAAGGTGCCGAGTGCACTGCAGTGGGGGGATGTGGAAGCACTGCAGAAGCACCCTGCACTGTAGCTGTGAAGAGCACTGAATCCCTTTGACCAACTCCCAAACACTTCATGGAGCCGCGGGCCCAGACCTTTTGTCTTAGGAACGTTGGATCCGAAGTTTAATGGTCCATGGTGGTCCCAAATCGAGGTCAGCTCTAGGGAATAAGATTGATATTTAAGTTACTGACAATGCCAATGCCGACTGTTGATTTATACATACAGTACCCTTATCAGTCTGTTTTCAATCTCTCCATATAGGTGGCTTGGTGTTATTCATTTCCCATACACTCCATGGGACTGCCATATATGCCGCCCCATTGACCCACCCCTGGCCTGATCGGCAGTCCGTCCTGGCAGTCCCATGCTGGAGTGCCTGGAGCTGCTATACAGTCAACCGTAAGGAGCTGCATGTCGTTTCCGGTGTGTCCGAGAACTCGGTCAAGTTCTCCAGTCCGTCTTCGGGAGTGAACGAGTGGCTGGATGGCACACCGTTCACTTGAAACGGGTCGTTCCGGGCACACAGGTTTGAAGATGCCTATAGGGCTCCAGTCGTACCTTCTAAGAAGGTGGGACCGGGGTGGGTTTTCAAGGTCCAGTCATACCTTCTGGGGAAGTACTTGGAGCGCTAAGGATGTGATATTTTCATGTTATTTTAAGCGGAAATAGAGCTCTTGCGCGCGAAACTAGCTCAAAACTAGCCAAGTTTCATCACAATCGCCTACCAGTGGTTTGAGCCCCGGTTGATGTTTTAAAAACACCCGGGACCTAGGAGAAATGTAAGCAGTGGTCCCGTTTTAGCAAACCATGGCTGATTCATTGTAAAACGATGAGTTAAACAAACGATAACACTCATGTAATGCATGCAGTACAGTACATGAGAATAGAAGCATTGGAAATTCAATTGCCTTCAGTTCTTGAAGCAAATAGCTCTCAAATCCAGTTATTGATTTCAGGTGCATTCTTTTTAACAAGAGTGTTTCATGTCAAGGTTTTCGTGTAATACAAGCATTCAGGAGTGATTTCTTTTTTTGCAAAACAACTTGACAACTGTTGTTTTTGCAAAACAATTCGACCAAGCTATGTAGGTCGTGAATCCAACGAGTATAATCACTTTTCACAAAGTAGCTAAAACAAATCTGGTTTAAATCCATTTAAAACATATATATATATAATTATGTTCATTCTTGTCGAAACGCATTTTGATTTGTTCATGGGATACCTGATGAAAAGGACACCCGCAGCCCCAAGAAGTCCGCACTAAACAGAAACAACAAGTCGTGGATTGGGGGAGCTTCGTCCGTCCGGGTCGTGGACGCCGTGGACGCGCCGGCGACGGCTGTTCCACAGCAGGTCAGCTGTTCACCTTCTACGTCTATCGGGTGCCTCGCTGGCCGAACCGCTGGGAGAGTGGTGCGACGGGAGAGCAACTGAGTTGGGAGCAACTGAGTTGGGTAGTTCATTTTGTTCTGCCCACAAGGAAATGGAGCCGATAGACTCAGATTTGTTCTGCCCGGTTCCCCCCCAACCTATGAAACTTGGATCGTTCTTGAGTCCATTGACCTTGGGCGGAGGCCACCGCCGTTCTTGGTGTGAACTCTACGGTGGTCTTGGAAGCTTTTTTGCTGGTCTTGCGTAAAAAGACCCAATATGAAACTCTAGAAGATGGCCGAACGGGAGGGTTTTGCATAGATGTCGATGTTTGCATTGATGGTAATCGGAAACAAGCAAGATTGGCGACGCATTTTCTTTGCTTATGCTTTAGCAAAAGTATGTTAGGGGCGATGGAAGCCTCCAGCGCTTGCTTTCGATGATTGCATTTAATTTCCCCCTCCCTTCAACTCCGACCAGAAGGATCAGACCTGCACCGTTTCGCCTCTGGCCAGCTCGATAGCGGTTGGCGGCCTGTTGCTGCTTTTGTTTGAATCCTGAAAGCGGCTGCTGCTTTGCTGGTTGCTGTCTCTAGGGTGGTTGTGCATTGATTGTGTTGGTGCACTGTTGGTGTTTTCTTCCTCTGTGCAGGCGCAAATTAAAGTTGTATGAGCTTTGCTGCTGCTGCTGCTGCTGTTGTTGTTATATTTGTTATTGCTGCAGCTCGTCTGGCGCTACTGTTTTGCTTTTCTGCTGCTGCAGGCGGTTGGGTTGACCGGAAATAGCGCTCTTAGGTTCTGCTTACTCGTGCAGTGGCATTCTCTAGCATTTCGGCCATCAATACTCTTTACGGAGGATCCTTGTCAGGGGAATGATGAGTGCATACGCCCTCAGCCACGGGTCCCGAGATTTGCGAGCGCCAACTTTTGCAAGCAGCCACTGACCAGGGCTCCTCAGAGTCGGGGTCAAGCACACCGGGGCGCCGAGAGGGACCTTCCGAGTCTACTGATCGACCCACCAACCCACAAACCGGACTGCCTTGCCTATTTGTGCCTTGGAGCACCATCGCGCAAGAGCTGCGCATTCCTGTGGTCCATGAGACACTACATGCAAACCTGCTTGACATGATTTTGCAAGCTATGGGTATTTTCCATACCGAGGAGCAACGAAGTTTCCGCAGCCGCAACCGCGCACTCTTTGATCAACTCAGAGGTCAGAGCAAGCCACTTGAGAGCCTTGCTCCGAACATCCTGGAGGCCATCTATGATGGCAGGCCATGGAACGACAAGTGGGAAACACTACTCTGGCACATGGCGCAGCACTACAAGTTCTGGCTGGTGGTCCCACCTGCGCCAGGGTGGTTGGCGCAAGATGAAGACGGAACGTGGGTCTCCTTTTGTCTCGAGTGCGTGGAGGAGGCCCGTCTGGAGAACGAAGGTCTGAGGAAACGATTTTAAGACCTTCAGCTGCTTTCGAAATGTGAAGGAAGATGCGCCGACGAGACATTGTGTCAATGTCTAGAAAATCAGAACATGGGAAAGCCGGGCACCTCCCTGTAGGGCTCCAAGAACCATTAGCACCTTACCTGGACAGAAAGCAGGATGCAATATCAGTCATCCAGTCAGCAAACAGTTTCAACTCCTGCTGTTGCGATGCACAAGCACCTGCTGCCTTCAAACGACACGCCTGCCTGTCTTTCCTTCTTCTCATGTGATGGGTGGTGGGAGGCCCATAAAAATGATCCTGTCCTGAATGAGAGCCAACCAACCACTGTCAACTCCAATTCATGAGATTGACACTGGGGATATTTTTTGCGAACGTTGATCGGCCTCATGGTGTATCCAGTCAACACAACCTGTGACAAACCCACAAGGGCCACCTCTCCACATCTTTTTCGCAGTCTCTACTGTTGACATGTTTAGAACCCGTCAATATAACCTGTGACAACCCCACAAAGGTGGCTGCTAAGGGCCACCTCTCCACGTCTTCTTTTTCGCAGTATCTCATGTTGCAACCTGCTATACCTTATTTTGCTGCCATGCAATTGACCCTGAGCATCATCTATTGATTGGAATCAATATATTGATTTAGAGGCTCGCAAAATCAATATCTCAGATTGATTTTGCAAATCAATAAATCAATAAATGTCACTATGCTTTTTGATCATCAAAATCAATAAAAATATCAATAAAAAAATCAATAAGAAAATCAATAAAGAAATCAATAAGAAAATCAATAAGAAAACCCAGCAAAACCATTTTTCCAAGCTCATTTTTTCCATGGTGAAGCTGCCTTTCCAAGTCTTTCTACACTAAGCTTTTCCAAGCCTTTCTTTTGCTATAAGCTTTTCCAAGCCTTTCTTTTGCTATGTACACTACAAGCTGTCCCAAGCCTTTCTTAAGCTATGTACACTAAGCTTTTGCAAGCCTTTGGCTCAAGCTTTTCCAAGCCTTTCCCTTTGCTATGTGTGCTTTTCCAAGCCTTTCATGGACTTTTCCAAGTCACCCTCAAACCTTTTCCAAGGCGCTGGCCCATGAGCTTTCCCAAGCCTCGCCCCCAAGGTCAGATTTCAAGATCTGACAGGTTATCTTGCTTCACATCTCTGGTCAGGAGGAGATGGACCAAGACCCTGTACTTGGGGGATATTTTTGTGGTGAGTTTGGTAGATGACACTCCAAAACTCACTGAGTGG